GTGTGTGTGTGTGTGTGTGTGTGCAGAGCAACAATCTGAAGAAAAAAGCCTTCTTTAGCTATGAACGCTCTCCATCCCATTGGGAAACTTGAAAAATCAAAAAAATTTAAAAACTTGGCTATTTAGGCAGGCCTTCCCTCCAGTCAATTAACTCATCTCTAGTCTTTGTCTTTTTAAACTATTTCATCTTAGCCATGATTTTAAAAAAGTGTCAAATTATCATGTTTTAAATGATTTTATGATATTTGTTATATTGTGACGTTTTTATTAGTGTGTAAGCCGCCCCGAGTAGACTTTGTCTAGGGGGGCGGGGTAAAAATCTAATAAAAGTAAAAAGTAAAAGTAAAGTAAAGAAGTCTCGTTTCTTCAGACAGACACCCTTCACATATGGAGAGCATTAGTGATGACAGAAAGTCTGGGTTAGCATGCTCTCTTTTCTCACAAAGTTATTTAATGTAGCGTATGTATTTTCTGAATGCAGTTTGTATGAAATGTAAATCTACTCCCAAAGTACTATATACCTGAATTTCAAACATGGAACTCTTAAAGTGGTCAGCAGAACAGCACAAAAATCTGGTCAAGAGCAACTCAGCAAAATTCCCACTTTACAGTTGAGGAACACTGAGGTTAAGAGAGAAGTGATCTCTGCCAGCCATAGCAGATACAGTGGTGCCTTGCAAGACAAGTGCTCCATTTTACGACGAAATCGCATAACAATGAAGTTTTTGCGATCGCAAAAGCGATCGCAAAACAATGTTTCCTATGGGGTTTTTTCACTTTGCGATGATTGGTTCCCTGCTTCGCTAACCGATTCTTGCAAAACGACTATTTTTGCACAGCTGATTGGCAGTTTCAAAATGGCCACCGGGTTTTAAAAAATGGCCGCCTGCTGTTTTCTAGGACGGATTCCTCACTGCACGGGCAGCAAAAATGGCCACGCTATGGCGGATCTTGGCTGGACTGAGAGTTTCAAGCCCATAGGAACGCATTAATTGGGTTTTAATGTGTTTCTATGGGCTTTAAAAATCGCTTTATGATGTTTTCGTTCTACAGCGAATTCGCTGGAACGAATTAACATCGTAATGCAAGGCACCACTGTATTCATAATACTTTTCTTTGTAGTCTGACAACATCTAGAAAGCCACACTTTTATTAGCTCACTATGCCAAATATACTGTGAGGAGTGATCTTGAAGAAAACTGGCAGCCTTCTAATCTGTAGTGCTAAGAGATCCAGGAGGAAATTTAAGTCATAATCAAATATACAGTAAAGGCCTGCTTAGGTCCACTGGTCAGAATCTCCTTTGTCTGATCCTTTGAAAAGCTGCCCATTGAGTGTACTGTTAGGGTTTTCTGAGATTTGTCCAAAGAGATATTCTATTACCTCCTTGCATAAGTGTAAATCCCATTCATAACAACAGGTGATTTCCAGCTGAGTGCAGAGCAGCACAGGTAGCATGAAATGCTCCACCAGCTACTGCAAGCTAGGTGCTAGCCAATGGGCTTAAAGAGATTATGTACACCAAACTCTGTATAGAATTGCAGTACTCGTGTGCTTTGCGTTAACTTTTGGCAAAGAATCAGCTATTAGAAAACACACTACAAGTGGTCTGTAGACCCTGAGTAGCAGAGTTGTTTTAATTCCCTCTGGTTAGATCAGTGGGAGCAGGAAGCCTTTGGCTAAAGGGGCAGAAGGGAGAAACAGGCACAAAAAAACCTACCATGCTGCTGGAAAATGCCAGTTAATAAAATGAAATGAATGAATTGCCTTTTAACACAAAGAAGTAAAAATGCAGAAGATGGATCCTAATGAATTAAATGCAGGAAAGTAGCTGATTATTTAGTAATGGTGCTATAAATAGAAGTCAGGGGGATATCTTGAACATGATGCACAGTTAGAAACAGAAGCTCGGCAACACTATTATTGCTGCTATTATTGTTCTTACTCTGTGATTTCATAGAACCTTCAGTGCACGTGGCCCTTTGCAAAGAAGATGTTAGACATATCTCTCTTACGTTGAGCTTACAATCTAATAGGCCAAGGGAAAACAAGAAAGCAGTGGAGATATTGGAGACAGAGGGAAGAATGAGCCATTATTTGCATTACTGTATTTGCATTACAAATACAATTACAAATACAAATAAGTTCAGTCCTCTTTAGGCGTAAATGGTTCCAAGGGCTTCCTAGAAAAGGTGACTTGACAAGGGGCTTGATAGAACAAAAGGAAGTGGTCATTATAACGCCAGTTCCACACATCAGGAGCAGCAAGAAAAAATAAATATGGTTCACGGATGACATAGTTAAACTTTCTAGAGTGAGAATGTTGTGTACATGCCTCATGCAGATCAGAGCAATGCTAGCCCACCAGAAGGGAAGCAGATTCTGTGGCAGGCAGGACAATCAGTATTCCACCACGGCTAGGACTGGAGATGAGGACCATTTTGCCCTCTTCCCTCCCACTTTCTGATTGCAATATGAAAAAAAATTAGGCACACTTCCCTATTTCATGTCCCTGATTCACCCAGAGTTCCTCTATTCTGCCAGCAGAACACCTATGCTGGTAATACTTTCTAATAGCATGAATATTGCCCCACTGTTGACCTCACCACACAATACCATCGACACAGCATCCTTGGCCTCTTCGGCCACCGATAGGACTGCACCCTAAAGCATGATCAAAGGTCTCTAAAATATCCCAGGCAGACTTTCTCGAATTCCAGACAACCTTGTAGTGTTTTAACAATAAACACTGAATCCAAATGCTAATTGCAACTACAACAAAGCAATAGAATCTATGTGATTTCCATCAGATGTTTTTGGAATACAACTCTCAGAAATCCTGCCCAGTACAGCTATTAGTAAAGGCTTCTGGGTGTTTTAGTTCAAGAACATCTGGAGACCCAAGGTTGGGAACTACTGATTTACATAGCTAGCAAGTCCCATTCATTCAGCTGGCCTGCTATTCTTGGAACTAAAAATTGAATTTCACTCCTAATTTGGAATTGCTGGTGATGCTGATTCATATGTAGTTGTAGTAGAAGACAGAATATAAAATAGCAACAACTATTATTATTATCTATTTCAAATTCTATTTCAAAATACTGAAATGCTGGACAACACCATCAATCATTACATCAGACTGCACAGGGAAGCCATTGAAATCCACAAGCATCAACAAAACTTCAACCGGAAGGAGGAATGTCTGAAACTCAACAAAACCTGGCTCCCAGCTCTCAAAAACACAGAGCGCAAAAGGTCAAGGAACTCCACCTAGCCACAAGGTCAAGGGATTACTGCACACAAAAAACCAGCTAACGACACCCATCAACCACAGGGACAGATAATCTCCCCTCCTTATCAAAACAATACAGCCACAACAAAACACACTAATCAACCATCTCCTGATCAGGACAATAGCCTATCTCACAAACTAGCCTTCTCACAGCCATAAATACTCCGCCCACTCTCAAGCCTACCCAGAGCACAGTTTGCTGTCCTCTGAAGATGCCGGCCACAGAAACTGGCGAAACGTTAGGAAGAACCACGTTCAGAACACGGCCAAGAAGCCCGAAAAACCCACAACAACCATTAGATCCCGGCCGTGAAAGCCTTCGCGAATACATATTATTATTATCATTAGATGCCGCAACATAAGCATTATGACTACTACCATTGACGTATTAATTACCTTAAATAGGAGGTGAGAAATGGCCCAGTCTCTGTTAACAGTTTCTTCTAATTCCCAGAAGACTGCTCTTGAAATGTAAGAAACGGGATGAAGACTGTTTTTTTAAAAAAAATATTGCCAACCCCCAGTGCTTTTTTCATGTTCATTGGAACCACTGTGTCTGTTGGATTCCCATAGTAGATAAGGGCACCCCTTTGGTAAACTCATATGATGCATATACTAAAAACCAAGAGATTTTATGTTCCCTCTGTTTGGTTTGTGAGTCAACATAGTCAACATATGACTGACAGGCAGTATGTACCCCATCAGGGATCTAAATGCATCTCTAGTACCTATGGCATCTCTCAGGTACCCCATACTTTCCCCTAAAATAAACATTTTTTAAAAAAAAAGTCAGTTCAAAAAGACTCTTTGTGCCCTCAATGCTTAATGACTCATAATCATACCTTTAGTTGAGGAGGATAGTAATTTTCCATGTTTTAGGGACCTTAGAAGCAGAGGGGGCAGAACACTACCAAATATTGAACACATTTAAAAAGTGCCCACTAGGAGGTATTGGGGCCTTTTTCACTTATTTTTAAAATTCTGTAAGAAAAAGGGGGGTCACAGGAGGGGTGCAGTTCTCCAAGGTTCAGGAGCAGGCACTGCGGCCCCAAGATTTCTGGAGATTGCTAACCTCTGATGTAACATAACAAAGATAACAGCTCTGAGCTACAGCTGGCTTCAATATTCAGTTCCTTGGCACACGCCAACAATGCAACATCCATTACTTAACATTTCATGCCTAAAGGTGGCACACCAGAGACCATCCACGAAAAAGAGGAAAACTACTCTGACAATGACCTGTTGCTTATAGACCAGCCACATGGCAACAGTGGCTCCCACCACTGTGAATTCTGTTTCCTGTTTACCACTAACAAATAAATGATGTAACAAATGACATAAGCATAAAAACTGCCCCAATCTCTGGTTTGGGCACAATAGTGCACAACCTGCAAAGGCCAAGCAATGTTCCAGAAAAATGTGGGTACATGTTCTTTTAGGACAATAAGATGTTCATTGTTCAGAAAACATATCCCAGCCTAGTTCACACAAATTGCCTTCAGCATCAGCTGTGGAAATAGGGAGGGCAATCACTATATACTGTAGCATCCCCTTGCCTGTGTATCTCTGGACATTTACCCTAAACAACTTGTTTGGTTTTTATTTTATTTGTTTATCATCTTTTGGCCCGGGAGGATTCCCAAAGAGATTTACAATAACACATCACATATATGGTACAGCTTAAGTGCTCCTGATCATGAGGAGGTGAAAGATCTTGGCCAGGAGGAATAATATACTGTTGTGGAGGAATGCCATGTAGCAACTGATGGATCATATTTATGACCAGCGTCACTTTCCTCAATTGCTGCAACACAGAGGCATCCTTGCCAGTGGCACCTGTGGTTCATCTGAGGTCTTCCCTGAGAATGCTTCCAAAGCCCACTTGCTCTAGGCTAGTGTAGACAACGGCTGTGCATGTATATACCGCCCATTTGGCAGCCAAAGCCACTAGTGTAGTGTAGTGTAGACAACGGCTGTGCATGTGTGAAGGGCAGAAGGGACCCAAAATGCCCCTGGATAATAAAGACTACAGAGGTCACGAGAGACAGCAGAAGCCACCATTGTAGGGGTTACCTGTCTCGGAGAAGGCAATTCACATTGCTGAGCTGCCTTTGCAGCATGCTATAAAAATGTAAGCTTCCAGGCCCTTGGATACCAACCGGCCCCTTTTCGGGGAAGGAATGGAGGGAGGCAACATGCAAACCACCCTAGAAAGAAACGGCAGGGAATCGACTTCCCAGTGCCCGGGACCTCCCGACACACCAGCTCAACAGAACAGTGGATCCTTGGAAGGATCGCCACCCGCCTCGGCTCGGGCAGGGAAGGAAGCGCCGCGGCTTCAGCACCCTGGACAGCGGCGACGCCACCAACCACGCCACAACCTAGGACGCCTCCAGGGAGGATTCCTGCCGGATGGAAGCACCGACGGACAGACCAGCCCGCTCGCGGTGCTCAGCCCAGCCCGGCCCGGCCATCACCTTGGATG